CCCAGTACAGCCCCCAAATCCCCAATCCCCCAATCGGCAATCTCCAAATCCCAAATCCCCAAAACCCAAATCCCTAATCCCCCAAACCCCCAAATCACCAAACCCCCACAATCTCTAAATCCCCAAATCCCTCAATCCCCCAAATCCCAAATCCCTAATCCCCCAAATCCCCAAACCCCCAAATCCCAAATCCCCAAATCTCCTAATCCCAAAATACCCCAAACCCCCAATCCCTCAAATCCCCAACCCCCCAAATCCCAAATCCCCAATACCCAAATCCCCCAATCCCAAAATTCCAAATCCCCTTTGCTCTGCCCCTGCAGTCCGGGATCGTGGGAGGCATTGGGGGCTGCATCAAGGTGAGACTGGGGGAACTGGGATGGACAGGGATGGACTGGGGGAACTGGGATGGACTGGGGATATTGAGATGGGCTGGGGAGGAACTGGGATGGACTGGGGAATACTGGGGGAACTGGGGAATACTGGGATGAACTGAGCAGAACTGGGGGGAACTGGGAGATACTGGGATGGACTTGGATGGACTGGGGGGAATTGGGGGAACTGGGATGGACTGGGATGGAATGAGGGGAACTGGGGGGAACTGGGGGGAACTGGGGGAACAGAGGGATACTGAGGGGGAACTGGGATGGACTGGGGGGCACTGGGGGATATTGGGGGCCAGTTGGGCCCCCTGCCTGGCTGGGCTGGTGACCCCGCGGTGACCCCAGTGACCCCGCGGTGACCCCGGTGCCCTCTGCCCCCTCTCTGCAGAAACCCAAAGGCTTCGGAGTGCAGAGGGCTGAGGTGGGTACCTGGAGCTGTGCTGGGGATGGCACTGGGGGCATCCCAGTATGGACCAGTATAGACCAGTGTGCACCCCAGTGCATCCCAGTATGGACCAGTATAGACCAGTGTGCACCCCAGTGCATCCCAGTATGGACCAGTATAGACCAGTGCATCCCAGTATAGACCAGTGCTGGGCTCAGAGCGTCCTGTGTGCTGGGGATGCCACTGAGGACATCCCAGTACCCCCTTGTCCCCCCCAGTTTTCCCCGGTTTGGGATGGTCCTGGGGTCTCTGCGGGGGGGTTTGGATGTCTCTGGGGGCTCTGGAGACACACTGGGGTCCCACTGGGGTCACCCTGGGGTCACACTCAGCTCCTGTTCCTGTCAGGCCGTCAGGATTTGATCATCCCTGGAGAGCCGCCCTGGGAGCCTGGGAATGACCCTGGAACAATCGATAATTGATAATCAATGATTGGTAATCAATAATCAATTATCAATAATCAATAAACCCTTCAGCAAAGCAACTCTGTGTGTTCATGGGTGCTTTTCTCATATGGATGGGTGTGTGCTCATGCCCCTGTCCCTCAGTCTGTCCCTGTGTCTGTGTCTGTCCTCTGTCTGTGTGTGTCCCTCTGTCTGTCCCTGTGTCTGTTCCCTGTCCCTGTGTCTGTCCCCTGTCTGTCCCTGTGTCTGTCCCCTGTCCATTTGTCTGTCCCTGTGTCTGTCCCATGTCCATGTGTCTGTCCCCTGTCCGTCTATCTGTCCCTGTGTCTGTCCCCTGTCCCTCTGTCTGTCCCTGTGTCTGTCCCATGTACCTGTGTCTGTCCCCTGTCCATCTGTCTGTCTCTGTCTCTGTCCCCCCTCACCCAGCCCTGGATTTCTCCCCCACCCTGAGCGGAGCCACTCTGGGGCTCCCAGGGCTCCCTCTGCCTTCCTGGGCAGGGCAGGCTGGGACACTGCTCACAGCGCCTTCATCATCTTCATCATCATCACATATCCCAGCACCCACACTGTGGTGACATTAATCACCAACATCCTCCTCATCCAACACCACTGACACTTCCACCATGACACTGCTCGCACCATCATCATCATCATCACCTTCATCTTCATCACCCACACCTGTGAATGAGGGATGTGGGACTCCAGGCTGCTCTCCAAAATGCAGTTTGTTGTACACAAATTGCATTTCATTGTCTCCAAAATGCATTTCATTGTCTCCAAAATGCAGTTTATTAAATACAAAATGAAGTTTATTGTACACTAAATGCAGTTTATTCCATCCAAGGTGTCACAGCAGTCCAGGGCCGTTGGTGACAGAGCTGTGAAGTTGAAATTTTTGGGAGTTTTTTTTTAACATTGGTGGGTTCCACTGGGATTTTTTGTGGGATTCTCTGGTATTTTGTAGCGTTTTATTCTGATTTTTAGGGGCTTTGGGGTATATTTGGCAGAATTTTGTTGGGCCTTGTGTGCTGTGGAGGGGCTTTGGTGTTGTCCCCAGGTGTGGGGAACGGCTGAGAGGTACCAAAATGTCCTTTAAACCCCTGAAAGTCCCAATAAAATCCACAAAATCCCACTAAATCTCACAAAATTAGAACAACCTAGAATCCCAATAAAATCCCACAAAATCTCTTGAAATCCCAACAGCCCCGCCCCCATAATCCCAATTGAGCCTCACAAATTCCCCAAAGATGTCCCCAAAACCACAAGAAACCCACCAAAATACCCCCCAAGACTCAAAGAAATCCTGGCAAAACCCAAAAAAAAAAGAGAAAACACCCCCAAATCCCACAAAAATCCCCAAAAGACACCAAAAATTTCCTCAAAAACCCCTGACCTCCAAAGAATCCCACTAAATACCTCCACAATTCCAATAAACCCACCCAAAATCTCCCAGAAATTCCAATAAAATCCCCAAAAATTTAGGAGAACCCCAACAAATCCCCACAAAATCCCAGCAGTCCCCCCCAAAATTTAAAAAAACCCCAAAAAATTTCAAAAACACCCAATTACACCCAGAAAAGTACCCCCCAAAGTGCCAATAAAACCCCCCAAAACCCCCCAAAATTCCCCGACTGCCCCCAAACCCAATCATTCTCTCCAAAAACCCCAATAAGTGCCCCTGAACTCCCAACAAACTCCCCCAGCCCCAAAAGCCCCAAATGCCGCAGCCCTGCCCAGCCCTCCCTGGTCCCTCCCAGGCCCATCCGGGGCCGGGGCCAAAACTCCCCGGAGTGAACGCGGAGGGCCCGGAGTGAGCCCGGAGCCCATCCTGGGCTTGGCTTCAGCCTCGGCCCCTTGGGGGCATTTTGGGCCACCCTGGGCAGGTTTAGGGTGGGCTCAGATCCCCTGCAGGCATTCCTACCCTTGCAGGGTGGATTTTAGGCCCTTTTGGCTGATTTGAGGTCCAATCTGGTGAGTTGGAGGGGGGATTTTAGATCACTTTGGATGATTTGAGGCCCATATAGGTGAATTTAATTTTTGTGTGAGTGATTTTAGGTCACTTTTTGTGGTGATTTTGGGCCCATTTCAGTAGGTTTTTTGCTTCTTTGGATAATTTTAGGTCAATTCAAGTCATTTAGAATTATTTGATGTTCTCCTGTGTTGGTTTCAGGCACATTTGAATGATTTTAGCTCAATTTAGGTGATTTTTGGCAAAAATTGGATGGATTTTAGGCTCCTTCAGGAGAATCTAGGCCAAAGCAGGTACTTTCAGGGTAGATTTGAAGCCCATTTTGGAGATTTAAGGCTGATTTTAGGCCATTTTGAGGGAGGTGTAAACTAGTTTGGGCAATTTTGTGGAGAGCTTTGTGGACAGTTGGTTAACTGAGAAAGGTCACGTCGACATAATACTGCTGGTTAAGCTAGAAGGGGACAAGTACAGGAGTCATCAGTCAGTGTCTAATAACAGGCAAGGACATTGTGCCCTTGCCGCAACAACAGGATAGGGAAGAACATCTTTGGCAGAAATGTGAAGAAAAGTTTCAATAAAATATCCACAAGAATGCAGAAGTAGGCGTAGTTGGCTGATAAGTAACTAACCAATAGTGAGCTCACCTTTGCAAGATGTATGAGCTTCATTAACACCAATATAAAGATGTGTGCCTATCAATAAACTTTGAGATTTGCTGATCACTCATATTGCGTGCCGCATTTCTCCCGCTGATCCCAACAACATGGTGACCTCGATGATGTGATACCGGTAATGGTGACCACGGGGGATCGGTGAGGGACTTCGGGTCCTGTCGCAGCAAGGATGGCAAAAAAGCACCACTGAAAACGGGGCAGGTGCCGGGCCCTGGGTGACTTCAAAGGAAAGCCCGGCCGACACGTGCTGCCGAGACCTTGTGGGGCTGCAACAGCACTGACATTCTTAAAATAGAAAGGCAAGCAGCATATTATTTATTTACTTGCTTTTTAAAAAAGTGACAAGTTAAGAGCATAGATTTGAAGAAAGAGTTTCATAAGTTATTGGCTTACAGGTATGCACAGGGATTCTTCCAAAATCCTCATACAGTCCATGAATTAAGTGAGTGGTATAAGTTTGAAGATAAGCTATAGGAAGCAGTCCTAGATCATGATAAAACTGCAAAGAAGTTAAGAAAGTTATAGCAAGAAGTGCATAATGAGTTAGTACAATATCAAGTAGAAAAGAAGGCTGCTCAGCAAGCTACTGTGGCTCATGACAAGAATAAAAGTTATGGAGATTGGTCAGATTGCCCATTACCCCCTGCCACCTCCACAGTTATCTTGCCACCAACATTGGCTCCTGCTTCAAGCAGCAGCTCACCCCCCATTACAGCACCATCCGCACCGCCTGTGCCCTGGACAGACCCTCCATCTCCCCCTCCTAGCAATGAGCCGATCCCTGGGGCAGAGAGTGACCTAACGGGGGCCATTGCACAAGAGCGGAGGAAGGCATGGGCAGCGGTAGCAAAAGAGATCATGGATTCGGGGGATAGTGAAGCTACAGCAGCAGCTATGAAAGTGGCTCGCCCGGTGGTGTATACTCCTCTGGACGGGGGTGGATTACAGGCAGCATTTACTGCACTGGATTGGAAAATGTTGTCACAATTAGGATTGGAAAATATTGTCACAATTACGGTCTACAGTTAGTCAATTTGGGGTGACCGGTGAGCCCACAAAGCAGATGCTTGACTATATTTAGGAGACCCAGGTGTTATTGCCAGCCAATTGTAGAAGAATTGCGAAGCTTATCTTTACTCAACATCAGCAGCTTCTGTTTAATGCACATTGGCAAGCACTCTGCCAGGAGTGCGTAGCAGTGGTACAGCAACCAGGTGACCCGTTACACGGAATAACCTTAGATGAACTATTGGGTATAGGGGCTTTTGCTCGAACAGAAGCACAAGCGTTAATCGGTCCCAATAAATATCGAGAGGCTATGCGACTGTGCGACTGGCTATAGATAGGATAAAAGAACCAGGTGGGGTTCCCTCGTACATGGGTATAAAGCAAGGAAGAGATGAGTTGTTTGGATCTTTTATAGATAAGGCAGCCACAGCTATCGAGCGAGCAAGAGTTCCTGATTTTATGAAAAATGCTTTGCTAAAGCAATGTGCCCTCCAAAATAGCAACCAATAAATACCCTAAGAGCTAATCAGACTATAGAAGAAGCTTTAGAACACATGGTAAATGTGCCCGTAGGGAGTCAGGCGATGTTAGTAGAAACTATTAAAGAGCTAGGGATAGGATTAAAGGAACAGGCAGCAGCATCGCAGAGTCAAGCGTTGGCTGCTCTTGCACCCCTACAAGCAGCGGCAACAAATAGTCCACGAGCTCCATCTACTGGCCAATTTAAATGTTACCGGTGTGGAGGCGCTTGTCAAGCAGCTACCGTTTAGTGCCACAGTTGTCGCTTGGACACTCACAACACTGGAGCTTGCCAACGCTGCTTGGGAAACATGAAGGTCAGCGCGCCCAACAGCCGCCGTGCCCAGACACAAGTAGCAGCTGTCAACATCTCAGCCCAGCCCCCCTTCAACCAGCCCCTGCCAGCAGCCTCGGGCTGGATGTGGCAGCCTCAGTAGCAGTAACATTGATGACCACCCAACTGGAAAAGGTCCCGACTGGAATAAAGGGACCAATCATCATTGATAGACAGCCTATGGGAGCTTTGCTTCTAAGACGATCATCAGCCACCATCATGAGATTATTTGTTTTAACTAAAGTAATAGATGCTGATTTTACTAAAGAAATTTGTGTTGTAGTACATACTCCTTTTCCACCGATTCGAATTGAGAAAAGACAGAAGATATCTCAATTAGTTCCATTGGAGCAAATGACTAAAACATTGCCCCCTCATCAATCACAGTCGAGGGGAGAACGAGGCTTGGCTCCACCAGAAGACTTACTCTATTAACAATGAATTTAAATGATCAGCCAAAATGTGCTGTATTAATAGATTATCAGAGTGAGAGGCAAATCTTGGAAGGTTTATTAGATACTGGTGCAGACTCCAGCATCATCAGTCCTGATTGCTGGCCCCCCCAACTAGCCGGTA